GTTGGCATGTATAGAAATAAGCTAAAATAACATAATTAAGTTGCTAGTACAAATTAAGAGAAATTGCATTAGGACAAGTCACAAGATAAAAATCTTTAATAAAACGGCAATAATGACTTTTTTTTTTTAAATTATTAACATTAGACAATAATAAGAAGCAACATACGTGAATTAGATTAAGATGAATGTTCACGAAAAACACTGGAGTTTAGAAATGACAATAAATTCGGTATTTTCATGGACATCTTTTTTCCCGATAATTAATCTCTTTTATGTTTAACTTTTTCTTTTTCGACATGGATCTGTTAGTGATAACTAGGTAAATTTACTCAACCTATTTGGTTTAGGGCATGCTGCTATGGTTTTACTAGGCCTTCATAGCACCTCTTTGTTGCCCGATAAAGAATTGTTATCTAAAGAGTAGAACCGATTTCAAGTCTTGTAATTTGTCGGGAGAATTAGCTCCCATTTGCATATCAAGCTTCAATGTTTCTTTTTGGAAAAAATTAAAAAGATTCAAAGCAAAGCAGAAGAAACCAAAAATACATATGAATTTTGTCAATGTATATTGCTCAAAATATGAAAATCCTTTTTTTTTTTTTCAAAGTCACTCTCTAATCTTGTTGCCAGAGTAATAACATATTACATCCAAAATCATTAGCATTTCACCTTTATGCAAACAGAAGGTTCTCTTAACTAGGATTATTTATGCCGACTATTTTTAAACTTTATATATATATATATATATATGTGTGTGTGCGCGCGTGTGTGATTTCGAAAATTGAATCTTAATCGGTGAATAGTTTTCTTTGCTTACTAGATCTCTTCATCTATAAGGATTAAGAAAACATCCATAAGAATTTGGTCTTCTTTGTTTACTAGATCTCTTATTGCACAAGGACAGAAAATATCTTTAAGGTATGTTAGGATAGAAAATATCTTTAAGAGATGTTTGGTTCGAGAGAAATATGATATTTTTCTCTGAAATCTTACTTATGAGAATGTGATTTTCATGTTTAATTTATGAATATATAATTACGATAAATAATTTTAGATTTCCAATAATACCTAAAAGTGTCATAATCAGAAACTCACATTTTTATGTAATTTTTTCAAATTTTAGAAGAAAATTATTTTTATCCTATATTTGACTTGAATAAAAATAATTTGTTTATGTTACTTTCATGAAAATCAACGGATAAAAATCAAGTAATTATGAATTGCTTTTGTTCTAGAATTTTTTTAATCAAATTCTCTTTTATTTTTTAATATTTTTTTCACTAGAATACTACTTTTTGTAGGCTTTAAAATGTAATAATTATGATTATTTATTATGTTTTTTTAACAGAAATGCAGTATTTGACAACTTTTTTTTTTCTATTTGACTTGGTGGTTGTTGATTTAATAAGCATTTATTATGGTTATAGCAATTACCATGTTTCTTTTAACAAAAACGCAGTATTTGATATTTAAATTTTATTCATTTATTTGACTTAATAGTTTTTTATTTAATAAGTATGTACTATAGGTATGACAATTACTGCATTTTTTTTAACATAAATGCAATATTTGACATTTAATTTTTTTCATCTATTTGATTTATTGGCTTTTGATTTAATGAGCATTTATTATAGGTACGACCATTATTGTCTTTTTTTGACAAAATGTAATATTTGGCATTTAATTCTTTTTTTCATTTTATTTTTAAATAGCTTTTGATTTAATAGCATTTATTATGGAGATAACATTACTATGTTCGTTTGAAATTAAATGTAGTAATTGTTCATTGTCAATTTTTTAAAAAATGAGCAATCTAATATTATGTTTTGAGGCTTTGAAACACAATAATTGTCATATTTACTATGTTCTTTTGAATAAAAACCCAATAATTGATTCTAAAAATTTTGTTATATCCTATTCGGATATTCTATTTTGAGACTTTAAAATGCAGTAATTATCAATAATTTTTTGCATTTCTCCCATGTAGTAATTGATTTTATTTTCATAATTAGCCACTCAAATACTGCATTTCCTAGAAACGCATTAATTATCGATTTTTATTTTGACAAAATTTTGTGTTTGTTATATAGTTAACAACATTATAATAAAAACACAGGATTAAGTAATTTAACTTTTCTTCATAAAATCTAAAATTCAGTGAGTAAAATGACCCTTAAGAGTTTGGAAAGACAATCGCTATAAACGCTCTTTGGCCTTTACTCTCTGCGGTATAAGAGATAATGTAGTTCGGTTGCTTTATATGCTTAAAACAAAACTCTCCACAAATATCCACTTCTTTTTATATTCTTGATATGAACCTAGCTAGTTATGTCTTTTCTCCGATTAGTTTTTTACATGAAAAGATCTTCCGCCTTTGGTTTTTGTCGTAAGGCTATTAAAAATATTTTCATCTTCTATTGTATTAACATATGATTGTTTCATGTTCACTAAAAACCACCTATCTTCTAACTTTGTTAAAATAAAAAATAAAAAAAAAAAGGTCATAGACTAATTAGGCCCAAGAATATGAAAAAGTGTTGCGTGTGTTGACATTTATATCTCAAATTTGCTAGATGTACCTCTTAAAAGTTGTTAAATGAACCAATTTAACTAAGTTTTAGATTTATGGACTTATTGTCTTTGCCTCTACAAGTTTTCAACTTTTTATTTTCAGATCAATTATCTTTTATTACTATGTTACTAAATTTGCATCATATATATGTGGATGTATAGATGCATATATATACTTGTTTATTTGTGCGTATGGACATATAGACCACTTATAATTTATCAAAATTCCATCAAATTTTCTGTGCAAAACAATTTTAATCGGAAATTTATAGTTCATTTGATTGGTTGTTTGATTACTTTAAACATGATGCAATTCCATTGATTGACATGGTTCCAAGTTTTAGGTGTCCATCATTAGTCTGCCTACATTGGATTCGAAAGCATGGAGATATGGGATCTCTCCCTGATGATCTAATTGTTGAAATTTTAAGCAGAATCTCTGCAGATGAGATACTGAAATGTCAAAGGGCTTGTAGGAAGTGGCAAACATTGAACTTAAGTCGTCAATTTACTGAAAAACATGTCAAACATGCCTGTCCGATCTTATTTCTGCAAAGTATCTTTCATTCCAATTTGAAAACAAAAAGAAGTTGGAATTCTATTTTCTTGACAAAAAGCTTAAGAAGAAGAACATGATGAGGAAGAGAGTTTGCACTAGGTTTATGCACAAAATTTTGAGTTATTATCCTGTGATTGAGAGGGATTGATTCTTTTTAGAGCTTCTGATCATGTTCGAAGTTCAAAGTTCTTCATTTGCAACCAGATCGTGCAAGAAGTATTAACCTTGAGGAAATCTTACATGTTGCTCTATCATCGAGTCATATCAAACAACCACAACAAATTCTTTATACTCAGTCTAGGTCTAAATCTTGGAGTTGGCACTTTTGGCTATAAAACATGTCCATGGCCCTCGTTAAGTTTTGATATATCTCTTTATTGGATGGCTAAACTTTATTCTATACCTTGCAGAAACTCTACCGTAGTATTCAACATGGATAGTGAAGAATTTAAAGAATTGCCTCATCCATATGAGGAATGTTCCTACTACGAACAAGTGTTAGAAACATATGATTCCCTCAAAAATGGAAAGGGATCGTTTATCACTGTGCTTTATGTATGCTGAAGTGATACATGTTTAGGTGTTGAAGGATCATTGAAGGTGGAGTTGGGATAAAATGTATGAAGTCAACCTTGATTGGGATCCTAAGCAATATCCCATTCTAAATAAAACACTTAATTGTAGTCATTGGATAAAAATCGAGAATATCCAAAATAAAAAAATAAAAATAAAACTGCTGCTGATGATTTCCCTCTGGAAGTGTCTTCCAGTATAATATATAACCAATAACCATAAGGAAAGTTCAAATTAGAAGATTTGTCTACTCTGATTTAGAGTTCACTATACGTAAGAGTTTGGTCTATTTGAAGGATTTATATGCTAGCTATGAGGAAAGCAACAAAATGGGATGTTAGAAGATAAATAGATGTCTTTCTTTATCTGTGTTTAAGAGGAGAACAAGTTAGTGTTGGCTTTTCATGATCAAATGCAAGCACCTTCTAAAGTGCAAATGGAACTGTTGGACCTTTGGCTTTTGCATAGCCAATATGCTAGTTTTTTCAAGCTAACAAAGCAGTTTACTTGACCACTTACCCTACTTGGGCAATTTCAAATTCAAAAGAATCATATAGAAATCAATCTTAAAAATAACTAAACTTGAATAGCATGAGAAAAACTTTGTTACTTAACAAGTTCGATTTACCTCTATCAACTTCAATAAAAACTGAGTTAATAACGTCTAACATGAAACTGTTTGAAAAACAAAAACATACAAAAAAATAGTGACGGATTTTTTTTTTCAGGATGTCTATTTTATAATATATAAAAAATTTTAAACAAAAAATTGATATATTGTTATATTATTACAATTGTCCACAAGAAATTCTTATATTTTAAAAAAATATAATTGTATCATTATTAATTCTATCAAAAACATCTTTCTCAATATATGTATAATTAAACAATCTTTCAACTAAGAATAAAAAATTTTATTCCAATGGATTTACCAATTTTGTCGATAAAAAATGTGTCTAGAGAAAAAATTTAGAAATGTCCAGAAAAAATATTTCTTCAAAATTTTTTATTTTCCAATTTTAGGATGTTTATGAACACCCTAATTTAAGCTATGGATCGGCCCTGAAAATAAATAAAACTTGAGCAGAAGTAACCCCAGAAATGAGGATAGCTAAAGGACTGTATAACAAGTGCACACCATGCATACATGGAGCCAGTGAATAGAAGTAATACTTTAGAGGCGGATGAGTTAAGAATTAGAAATTAATTGTTGCCCACTTGTAAGGACAATGCAAGAAAATGCAAATACAATTATCATATTACAAATTCATAAGAACTACCTTGTTGTTTTATATACTAAGAAAATGATCTTAGGCAAGATCTTTAACAGAACTCGTGACAAAAGAAAGAACCCGAACTACCTAACTAGCTATCTAATCCATCCTCAACAGTTGCCTATACATGAATGAGATATTGGAGTTATGCATTAGAAACTCCATATCAATGAACTTAAATAAGGAAATCATTAAATTTTTGAAAAAAAATTTCCTAAAATAGCAATTTAACTAGCTCAACGAATAAGTATAAACACCCATCCGGACCATTTAAATAAATATCTTAGATCAAGTCCAACGTCTACAAAATCTGTCAGAGAAGAATTCGGGCGGAAATAACAAAGCCGAGCAACCCATGAAGAGAGAAACTGTGTTTCTTAATATCACAGTCAGCTCAGAAGAAGCGGCACAGAAGCAGACAGTGATTGTATATCATGCGCTTGCGATTTATGTTCTTTGATTTATAATCTATGTTGTCTTCATTCCCTTTAAACAGGAAAAGGGTTTCTTCATTTTAAAATAACATAGGAATTAATTGAAGCAATAATGCAGACTATGCACTCAGTGTCTGTTGCAAAGGGAAAAGTATAGGTCATACAAATGCATGAATTCAAGTACTAATTACAAATGATCATTCCATTTATCTTTGCAAATGAAATCAATGGAAATTAGGAACATTTGTCCATTTGGTAACTCTTTAGTTGGCACTTGGAAAACTGTGCTGGCAGCATAATTGGAATCTCGGCAAAAACAGAATATTTCAAGATCCAGATCATGCAACCAGATCACTTTTGTGTCATTCCAACCCATGGCATTGTCACAACTGGCTTCGACTTATGATCCAAAAACCAACTCTTTCAATGATCTTATTGGTGAGTCATATTCATGTACAACAGAGTCTCTCCATAAAGCCATTCCTGTTGATGGCGGGAAAGTAATTAGATACATAAAAATGTTAAAGTAAAAAACACATTAAAGTTGTTTTCCCTTCTCCATCTCTATGTCCCTAGTCGATAAGAGTAAGGGCATAGGTTAGTATAATATGAGTTAGATGGGGTGGAAAGACAACCTAGCCATGAAATTAAACCGACTGTTGCGGCAAAGAAGAAGTCCCGGCTGATACAGTTGAAACTGGAATGACAAACAATTGAGACACTTCATGATAAAAAAAATGCAACTGGAAATAAATTTTGCACATGTATATGATAAATTATATATTCCGCACATGTATAAGCATACAATATTCCCGTAACCATAAAAGAGCGTTCCCCAAGTAGAACCAGTGAACCTGCAAAGTCAGTTGAACCAACATGTAACAAGCATAAACAATTAATGCAATGAAAAATTAGCACAAGGTCAACCATAAAAGGATAACAATCAGAGATCAAAAGCTGATGAATTTAAAGTCAATTATAATTCACTCTAGTTAGTCTTTTACATTAATATTTTCTGGTTTCAATGTCGTGTGCATGTGGTCAGAATCATTTATTCAAATAAATTAATAAATAAAATTGAAAGAGTGCATTACCACATAAAATCACGAATGAATAGTGCACGTGGAATCATAAGTCCATTTCCAATCATAGCAAGCAACATTGAAAATGCTGATAGGCCTTTGATGTTATCAGGATTCAGGAAATTTGTCCACTGAAAAGGAAGCACAAATGTTAGTCAGATATGCATGTGAATTAATATCTTCAGAGCCTTAGACACAGAAGTTCGAATAAGTATTACCACTTGTGAAACTGGCATCCACATAAAAAGAAGAGTTGCCGTCCATCCAGAAATAGCTCCCACAAATTTGACACCTTCCTCTGAAAGTTTGCCCATATGTGCCTGCAACTCTTGGCAAATGCAACTTTAAAAGGGTGAAATTATACTGCCTATTTTTCTATATTCATTTGTAAAACAGAAACGCAAACAGTTCCCAAAGTAAGAGGGTTTAAAATACATAAAAGGTACTACAAGTCTTATTGCTGACCAATCTTTCATGATGAACATAAACAAGTTTAATCAAATCACTAGAACAGACAATATAAAAATATCATAGAGCAGCATATAGATCTTACCATAGTTACAGCCACTACAGCTAGAACAAATGCTATTGCCCCTGGCAAGATGCTATTGGGTATGTATGGGACAAATGTGGACCACATTATCTGTACTCAAATGGTTAAAAAAAGGTCAGAGGCTTGAATAAATAAATCAATGCTAAATAGCCAAAAGGAAAATAGAAATATATTATGCTGATCTGTAAACATATCATGTTTGAGTTTGTGCGTGCATCAGAACTTTTAAGTGTGAGCAGAAAACAGGGGACTGAGAGCTTACCTGGGGAAGCACTGAAAGTCCACCAACAGTAGTAAAATCTTCCCAAAATTGCCAGATTGTTGCATTGAGCATGCCATAGTAATTCAAAAAATTTAAAATGAGCCCAGCACCAATAACAACGGAAGTGGCCACAAAGTGAGGGAGAGGCATAGCTTCTGCCATTGCAAGTTGAGTGATAACCACATATATGGATACCACTCCTAGTGTTTGCACCACAACTGCCTCCTTTTCCTTTTTCTTGGCAAAGTAAGAAAGCAGTGAAAGGTTTCCAAGCAAACCGGTGAACATTCCCTGCATTTACAAGACTCCCTTAGGTTCCTAAAGTGACATCTTCTTTTGGCTCATTGCAAACAATGACAAAAGGAAATGCATCAAAATTTAAGATTATAAAAGTTCCATAAATAGAGGTCATAATCACTGCTCAGCAGAGGCTAGAAGGATCATCAATAATGTCAGTTATTCTGATGAGTCCACAAAAACAAATTACTCATTCAACTATTAGATATTCTATATCAAGACTCAAAACCACTAAAATTAAGCTAAGCCTTGTCTCACAAATAGAGATTCTTGTACCCTTTTTTTTCAACTAACTAAAAGCGGGGAAAACCATATACAGTACTGAACAACAAAGTCTAAACAACTCAGCATCTAATTTCTATCTTCCGATATTTTGCTTACCGTCTCACCCACACTTCTAAGCAGCAAATGATGTCAAATTCATTGTTTCATACTATCATGAAAGACATTGAAGTTCATGGGCTAGTGTAGATATTTTCCAAAGCAAAAAGGCAAGGAGATTTAGCTTCTTGCCCCCACTACAATTGATAAAAGGCTAGAAGCCCTCTCAAAATTTTCATCTGTTCTTTAACCCTAAAATTTCGGCTTCAAGATATCAGCAAAAATACTAGAAAAACAACAATTAAGAAACAAAAACATAAATGTTAAATGTTAAGTATACCACAAGAAATCTAACTGCAATTCTAGATTACCAGCCATGGTACAGCCAGAAGGGCAGTCTTATTCCCTGCCAGAAGATTGCACGCGTTGAGGATGATCTGAGGCAATTGAAGTAATAAAAATGGTATATTTGAAGCCCCGGCAAACTTTGCAGTCAATGAATCCCATTCCTCATAGCTCTTTGTACTCTTAAAATTCACTGATCCCTTTCAATTTCCACAACAAACACCAAAGGAATCATTAATACATTTTAACACAACTTACACAAGTTTCTACTAAACAAATTCAGCTCTATTAAGTTAACCTTTAAAACCCCAAATCCCTTCCAAATTTTTCCTCGGATTTCTCAACCTTATAATCCATGAAATTTTCAACAATCCACCACCTTCCAAAAAAAAAAAAAAGTAGGGTCTTTAATGGACTGTGTTTTTCCTAAAAAAACAGAGGAAATATTAAATAAAGGAAATAAAAAAAAAAAAACCTTCAAATTTTGATCTTTTTAACTTTTAGGCTGTGCAGAATTGAAATACACCTTTTGAATTAATCTGACATTTTATCAAACATCTTTGGATTCACTTTAATACTAATTTGGTAGCTCAAAAGTCAAAATTCAGTGATTAAAAAAACAACCACTAATAAATAACAGAAACAAAGTAAAAAAAACAGTTAATTTCATTCTCTTGTATAAAACTACACCAAAAAATTAAAAAAAAAAATTGAAACAAGATGACAATCACTTCACATTTGGTAAGCAGGCAAACAGAATCTTATTTTTCAATTAACTGTCAATAACTGCCACTCTTTTCATTTAAAAAATGAATTCTGAAATACCTTGTGAAACGGGCGAGGAACGTCCGAGTCAAGGGCACGAATCGGTCCGAGTCGGTGGGGGAGTGGAAGGAGCGAGTATTGACTAAGAGCCAACTCATTGAGCTTATTCTTACTCTCATTCAATTGCAAAGAGAAGGAGTTGGATGGCAATAAGCGTGAAGGGAAAGGGCAGTTTCGGAAAATCAAAGAAGAATGATCATTGGGAACCTTGGCAGCCAAAGGGAGAAACAAAGAATCAGCCATTGAAAGAAAAAAATTTGAAGATTGTTTTTATTGAATTTGAGAGAGTGGAATGAAGAATGAAAGTGTTTTTGTTGGGAGGGACAGGGATGATTAGGCAGTGTGGGAACTCGAGGTGACACGTGGAAAGATTATTTGACTGTGTCGGGATGCAAGGTTAGCATGTGAAGATATTTAATTAATGCCTTCCTACCATTTATTGAAACAAAAGGTTAGCCCAAATATCTACCAACAAAAAGGGTTGGCCCAACCCCAAAAACGTTCTTGGATGTTTCAAGTACCTAACAAAATCAAACTCCCTAATACTGTTATTCCGGGTCGTTCAATGGAGCCTGGAAAAGGAAAACCTTACCCGACCCGCCAAGTAGTAGCAAAACCCCAATCAAAGTCGGTTCTTCCCGCTTCCATGTAATTTGTAATTTCCCTTAATTTTCCCGGATCCTAGAAATCAAAACCCAACGTCGAATTTCCACCTTCTTTCGAAGCTTTTCTCTGGTTGAGTCATCCAGATACTAAGAAACTCTTTTTTTTTTTTTTTACTATATGTTTTGCTTTAAATTTCGTGTTTTTACATCCAATTTTAACAACCTCCCAATTTGGGTCTCCTTTTTTTTTTCCTTTATAAATTATGGGTTTTAATTATTTGTTGCTCTTTTTGCTTCAGATTTTGATGAAGCGAAGGAGAAGAAAATTTTTTTGTTTTGATAAAGAATGGATGAATATCAAGAGATGGAAAGGTTTGGGATGGAGAACGATTTCGAAGACGGGCAATGGATAAACGGCGAATTCTACTACAAAAAACGCAAAGAAAAGCGGACTCAGACAAAAGATGATGTTCTTTACGGCGTTTTTGCATCTGATACTGATTCCGAAGACGATGATTCTTCATCAAGGAAGAGAAGGAAGTTCGGTAAAAAACCTGACTTGACCAAGCCTGTCAACTTTGTTTCTACAGGTACTGTAATGCCTCCCCAAGAAATTGATAAGAATTCTAAGGTAGAGAATGATAATAATGTTTCTGATGATAATGAGAATGATGGCAGGCCTGAATTGGGGTCTGGCGTAGGTTTAGGGTTTGGTGGAAATGATAGTTTGCATAAAAATGATGGTAATGATGGTGGTGATGAGGATGATGACCGTAGTTTTTTGCCTACTGCCTTTGGGAGGAAGATAAAGGAGGGGGCACAAAGGAGAGAGAAGCAAAGGGAGAGGTTGAGAATGGAGAAGAAAAGTTTTTGAGGGAGAAGGGATGTTGGAGGTCGGAACGGGGATGTTGGTGCATTCGAGAAGCATACGAAGGGTATTGGGATGAAGTTGCTTGAGAAAATGGGGTATAAAGGAGGTGGTCTTGGAAAGAATGAGCAAGGGATTGTTGCTCCTATTGAGGCAAAGATGAGGCCGAAGAATATGGGAATGGGGTTTAATGATTTTAAGGAGGCTAAATTGCCAGGGTTGCAGCAGTTGGAAGAGAAGAAGAGTGTGAGTCAGCATCCACTTGGGAGAGCAAAAGAAAGGCTTTGGTCGAAGAATGCAAAGGGAAGGAAGAAGGAGGAGTATATCACGGTCGAAGAGTTGTTAGCCAAGAAGCAAGAAGAGGCTGTTGAAGTTGTTCAGAAGGTGATTGATATGAGCGGGCCACAGGTTAGAGTTTTGACAAACTTGGAGAATCTAGGTGCAGAAGAGAAGGCAAGAGAGAATGATGTTCCGATGCCAGAGTTGCAGCATAACTTGAAGTTAATTGTTGAATTGGCTGAGCTTGATATTCAGAAGATTGAAGGAACGAAATAGAGGCAGCATTGAGCTTGCAAAAGGAGATGGCAAAGTTGGAGATTGAGGCTTCACGTCAGAAGCAACAGTTTGCTAATATGGAACAAATTGTTAGTGTGCTGGGCCAGATTGAGGAAGAGAACTCGTCTGGAAAGTTGACCTTGGAGTCTCTTTCAAAGAGTTTTAGGGATCTGCAGAGGAGTTATACTGATGATTACAAACTGTATAACTTGTCCTGCATTGCATGTTCATTTGCTTTGCCTCTGTTTATAAGAATGTTTCAAGGTTGGGATCCTCTTGAAAATCCATCTTATGGGATGGAGGTGATATCAGCATGGAAGGATGTATTGCAGAGAGAGGATAGTTATGACATTTGGGAGGATTTAACAACACCATATTCTCAGTTGATTTCAGAAGTTGTTTTGCCAGCTGTGAGAATATCTGGCATCAATACATGGGAGCCTAGGAACCCCGAACCAATGCTTGGATTTTTGGAATCATGGGAAAAGTTACTACCATCTTCTATTCTTCACACCATATTGGATACTGTAGTAATGCCAAAATTGTCTAGAGCAGTTGACTTATGGAACCCACGTAAGGAAACTGTTCCAATCCATGTTTGGGTACATCCATGGCTGCCGATGTTGGGACAGAAACTGGAGGGTTTGTATCAAACCATACGTATGAAGTTGAGTAATGTTCTTGATGCTTGGCACCCAAGTGATCCATCTGCTTATGCTATACTATCGCCTTGGAAGACTGTGTTTGATTCAGTGAGTTGGGAACAACTTATGCGTCAATATATAGTTCCAAAGTTGCAGATTGCTCTGCAGGAGTTCCAAATAAACCCTGCAGATCAGAAGCTTGATCAGTTTTATTGGGTTATGTCTTGGGCCTCTGCAATTCCTATTCATCTCATGGTGGATTTGATGGAGAAATTTTTCCTTTTAAAGTGGCTGCAGGTTTTATATCGTTGGTTGTGTTCAAAACCTGACTACGAGGAGATAAAAAATTGGTATATGGGTTGGAAGGGACTACTGCCACAGGAGCTTTTGGCAAATGCAAGTATCCGTAATCAACTTAATTGTGGTCTTGAGATGATGGTTCAGGCTACTGAACACGAATCGGAAGTGCAGCCTGGTTTGAGAGAGAATGTTGCATATCTTAAGGTGCGTGAGCAAAGGCATTTCGAGGCTCAGCAGAGAGCAGCCGCACACCTGCAGCAGCCTGCTGCATCTGGCCTGGGTACCACAGCCCAGATGGATGGTGTTCCTGAGATGAGTTTGAAGGAAGTAATTGAGGCCTATGCACAGCAACATGAGTTATTATTCAGGGCGAAGCCTGGCAGGACGCATAATGGTCAACAGATATATGGCTTCGGTAACATAAGTGTAATAGTTGATTCACTTAACCAGAAGGTTTATGCCCAAAAGGAGGATGGGTGGTCCCTTGTCTCGCTTGATGATTTGTTGAAAATGCACTATAATTCTCTTGCAAGGCAACGTTGAGTTTTAGGTAGTTATTAGAAGAGATGCTGCGGAGGAAAGCATTTTTTTAGCTTTAAACCATGCTTTGAAAGGAGGCTTGTGGTTTTGCTGGTTATGGGGGGTCAAATGCATTATGCATAAAATGTTTTGAGAACACAAGAGGTTAGTTCCTCCTTGATTTCGGTTATAGGAATTGGTTATACGGACTAATTTTTTTGACAATGCTTAATTTAAAGCAATAACTACACCAGTGTCTTCTGATCTTGTAAATATGTTATTACTAGTGAACATTGGTTCATTATTTTAAGAAGGCTTGCCTGGGTCTCAACTTTTGTTATGTATCAATGACCTCCCACCTTGTATGTCTGGTTTTTGAAGAAGCAAAGCCTGCTCTCAATGCACTTAGCTGGCTAGGTTGAATGGTTTCTGTTTAAGCCTTTTTTTTTTGGACATTCCTCGGGATATCACAGCATCTTATCAAGTAGATGTTGAGGAGCACAATGGAATGTTGAGTGTAATCTCTACTGGAGGATGAACCTGGCTTTGATCACTAGCAATAAAGACATGACTTCTCAGCTGGAGCAGGAGGTTATGCTTCTTGCTTCAAATCTTTCTTCAAATGCAAATCTTCACCACACACTGTTTTTTCTTCTTTTTATTATTATTTTTTTTTTCTGAAGGATTCATCTGAGATCTGGCTTGTCGAGATTTGGAATGGTGGAGATCTTTTAATCTTATCCCTATACCTGATATTTGATGAGAATTGGATTCCCATATTATGAGGCTGCCTGATAGCTGCAAATTTTAAGATAATTTGTTTTCAAATACAGAATCCAGAACTTCTGAAAATAAAAAACAAGAACAAAGTTCGACGCTGGTAATCGAAAATGGTCGTCATCATTCTCAATCAACTGATGTCTTGGGTTGAGAACTATTAGACTTCATCCTCTTTCCGCGTAGATGAAATAACATTTTACAATGGAATCGTTAGATTTTTTCCTTTGTTTTGTTTTGAGCACTGAATTGAGGTTTACCATTCCCAGTGAAGTTTTTCATTCTTTAAATAAATAAAATAGAAAAATAGAGTTTCCTTTTCCCATCTATTTTTTCATCTATAAAAAGTTGGAAACTATTGATTTTATAAAGATGATTGTAGCTTAGGAATAGGAGAAATATTACAGGAAAAGGAGAGAGATTATAAGTATTAATGTTGGGATTTGAACTTTAAATGTTATCTTTTAAAGATAATTTTTTAAATTAAAAACAGTTTCCTTTTTCCCATTGATTTTTTCATCTATAGAAAGTTGTAAACTATTGATTTTTTTTTTTTTTTATAAAGATGATCCTAGTTTAGGAATAAAAGAAAGATTACTTGTATTTAGATTTAAATGTTAAATCTATTAGATGTCAACTCTCAAAATAAAAGTATGAGCTAATTGAAAGGAGTCTTGGGTTCATGAAATTCGGTTGATGAAAACTTATGATTTCATGTGCCTGTTATGAATGAAAATTCTTCATCGATCCTTTCAGCTTTAGAAGTAATCTGATCATGTAAAAAAACATGGTATTTCTACTACAATGTAGAAACTAAGCATTCATCAAATGTACAAAGGATACCGCAATCTAAGAGAGAGGAAAGATGCACAATCAGAAAGAAGACCAAGGAAAACAAAAATAACCACTTATATATATATATATATATATATATATAGACTACATTAGGAAGCACAAAAAAGTTGCATCCTGGATTTCATTTTGTCACCTTTAATAAGAGGGTTTTCTTTAGCTAAAACTTGACGATCAGCCTTCTTGAAATCATAGTTGCATGAATGTTCCAGTGGTATCGGTGAACCTGACAGAAAACTTTCCCACACCGACATGTTAAAACCCATCAAACTAAGCTTCTTATTACAAACACCCATTACCGGGCTTTATTGGAGTAGAAACCGATGTAGAATCAACAGGAACAGAAGGGTGTGATGCAGCTGAACCTGTATCTTTTGTTTTGACCAAGTTAGAAGCTCATGTTTTAGCTGCTCCAATTTGTAACACTTGGAGCATAAATTCTTGGTCTCCATCGAACCATAGAAGCCACAACCATTCTTTGCCTTCTTGATCTTGGTTAATGCTAGAAAATTGAGAGAGAACTTTGATATTTTTGTTGTATAGTAATATGGCTGATTAGAGTTCTCGGTTTTTGTCTAGAATAGACTATAGAGATTATAGAGAATTTCTAGAAAGGCTTTTCGAGTCTATAATCTTATTATTGGGTTTTTAGTTTTTACTCAACCGCCTAGAAGCCATCGGTGACTCGAAATTTCTATACGTTTCTTCCTGTCTTGTTGAGGTGGCCAAATGGTTGACATGGATTATTATGTCTACTGTTGCATAGCATGATCACCATTTTTAGGCTTTTCCTAGTTGTTTTCTAAATCGTTACAAAGCTAAATTGCAATCTTTAAAAACCAGGGTTCATAGAATCCATAATAAAAGGTAGAATATCTATGTATAACACATAATATGTTTGGTCAAGTTCGACTCAATTTGATAATTTTAAATTTTGTCAAATTTGATTAATCATATTTATTCAGATTTTTTTTAGTTTACTTAATAGTATTATATATATTTATAATCTAAATTATATAATATAAATATAAAATAATATATTATATTATATAATTTGAGTGCAATTAAATTTTAATATTAAAATTGAAATTCACTCTACTTTTTAAATAAGTTTCATTTTTTGTTCACATACATTTAACAAACTCGATATTTTTTTCGAATAATTTCTAATATTGAATAAACTTTTGAGTTTGGACAAATAATAACATCCTTTAACAATTCTATGATCAAGTCAACCATCTACACGTCAACTAACAAAAAAAATATATGGATTTTATTAATATAACAATTAAATATCATGATTTCATCCAAATATAAGTAATTAATATTGGTAATTATTTCTCAAATGAAAAAGTCCTATATATAACTCCTTGCGGTTGACGAAATCCAATTCCAAGGGCATGAACACAAGGCGAGCCTATATATATGAAGCAAGTAACTCTAATAACATTCACCTACAAATATTTCACGAGCAAAAAAAAAAAAAAAAATGCAGAAACTACGAAATGGGTGACAGTAATCTTCCTCTATGTGCAGAAGGTTGCGGCTTCTTTGGTTCGATGGAAACCAAGAATTTATGCTCCAAGTGTTACAAAGATTTTCTCAAAGAATCATTGGTTTCTGAGTTTGAAGCCAAAGTGAAAGTTTCTACTACTACTTCGACTGCACCAAAGCCTCCTGTTTCAGTCGATTCTTCATCTGTTTCTACTCCACCAAAACCAAAGAACAGATGTGAATGCTGTAACAAGAAGATTGGTTTGACGGGATTTTCATGTCGCTGCGGGAAAGTTTTGGGCGGGATTCATCGTTATCCCAAGGAACATTCATGCAACTTTGATTTCAAGACAGCTGATCGCCTTATTTTGGCTAAACAAAACCCTGTTATGAAGGCTGACAAACTAGAATCAAGGATTTGATATTTTTTTTTTTCCTTTTTCAACATTAGTTTGCTATGCTTTGTTTCTTGTTGACCAAGGATTTCAAGTTTTTATATTGTATTCTTGCTTTTAATTTGTTTTATTAGAAGGATTTTTTTTTCTTTTTCAACATTAGTTTGTCATGCTTTGTTTCTTGTTGACCAAGGATTTCAAGTTTTTAAATTGTATTCTTGCTTTCAAATTGTTTTATACTTTGATGCATGGTTTAGGGTTATTTTGATTGCTTTCAAGTTTTCATTACATGCAAAACATAAACTGTAAGCTCAACAATTCCTACATTAAAATATTGTAAATATTCAATGAAATATAAGCTCAACATCTGCATTGAAACTACTTGTTTATCATCATTACTACAGAAAAAATTTTATGCAAAACCAGTTATTTTGTCTCCATAAATATAATAAATAAATAAAAATATTTTGCTCCAACTAACAAGATCTTGATCAGTTTGTTGTAACTCAAAACTCATGATATAGGAAGTTTAGGGTCACGAGGCCCTTACCCTGACCTTCTATAGTTACTGTTGATAGGAAAAATAATTCGCAGATACAATTTTTCCTTTTTCTGTATATATACAGTCATTTTTACCATGTGAATCTTGAAGGATACAAAATCAATGTTTCACTAGCATAGCCTCCAATTTTTTCTTCCTTGCCGCGTGTTTTAGTTTCTCTAGTGCGACAAGTCCAACTTGCCTAACTCTTTCTCTGGACAAACCTATGCTGAAGAATTAACAAAAGAAAAAATCAAACCAACTTGAAAATGAAATGAAATTTACATGTGAAATGAAACCAAAGAAAACTATCTCCGGAAAGCGACTGTTGATGCTAACAGATTCAACAAAGAACATGCATGGGTAAAACATCTGTAGATATGAACAAACATGTTCATTTTCTTCCGTTGGTTTCTTTTCCTTCTTTTCTTTTTCCCATATTTAATTATATTGTTATTTTTTACTGCCATCCGAATGATTTAGGGAATAAATATCTATGATATTTGATTTGTTAACGACAGAGACATCAAGGTGATCTGAATAGTAAAACAACTTAAACTTTACACTCAATATCATACATGTTGTTTTAATTACCAATTGTCGCTAATAAATAAGACAATTATACATAAGCTCACCGTTTACTGATGTCCTCCCATGTAAGACTTTCCTCATCTAGACCATAATAAAGGCGTATAATCTGCCTTTCTCGTTCTCCAAGAGTTACAGTGATGAGTCTGTTCACTTCATCCTGTAAACATAACATCCGAGAGGATTATGTTTGCTTTGAATAGAACACGAACACAACATCAAAAGTTGCATGCACAACCAAGGAACAGTTAAAGTAAGCTAGAAGTAGCACATTTACAAATTATTATATCACAAAATTGATCTCAAATATCTCTCTTCACTCCAACAGACAGGTTTTGTTTCTAGACAAACCTCAAACCATCTACACATGACCATTTAGATCGATTATAGTTTTTCTAGTTTAGTCTATCCAAATCCAAGTTGCTTCTGCTTTTAACCCACTTGGGCCCTTTCCAACCAGAAATTGTCTCTTCAATCGGTATTGACACTCATATTAAGAGGAAGATTTGAAGTAACATTATAGGTGATAAGAATAGGTCTACAGTATGAGAAAACTGAGTCAAAGGCTCTGGTGGTTGAGCTTAAAAGACCCAGATAGATGTGTGATCTAGAGACTAAACAGAATGAAATATAAAGCACTATTAATATTGAATGAGTTGCATTGCCATCCCTAGGTGAACCTTAATTTGTCAACAGAAAAAATTACGAGCCTTTCATTAGATTATTTATTAAAATATTGCTTTCTTTAGTCTTCAGTATGTTAGCTAAATTATTCATCTTACCTTAAGAGCCCACTCATCTACTCCATGCCATGGAATGTTTTCTACATGGTTATCTGCAATGTACTAAAAAGATAAAAGGAAAATGGGTTAATAGTAGATAACAGGAAAGAAGCATAGAGGGAATTGAAATTCTGTTGAGTCGATTCATATAAACAGGAGCTTACACTATGATGAGTCTCCCCGGGAAGACCATTCAAAGAGGGGAATGCATCCCTGTCAAGGGAGAAGACCTTACTGACTGCCTGCATTTAATGACAATGTAGTATGAGGACGGAAAAAGTAACTGCAATAGTTCACCAGAAAGTAACTTTCAAACAAAAAGTACCTCCGTAGCATTCCTAACTTTCGTCTGAGACATGTTCAGACTTTCGGCAATCCTCTGAAATATAATAGAATCAAAATAATTAATGAAACTTAAAGAGTAAAGTTCAGACACAGAAATTAAACATCCAAATTTATGTTGAAATATATTGATTGGTTCGACTAATTGAAATTCACCGAAATTTAATCCTGTGCAGTTCAAATCAAATGAATGAAATTACATTATTTTTATAGAAGTAATAGAAGCCACTTACATCAATAGTTGGTGTTATTCTTTTCCCTTCCAGTCTATTTTTTGCATTTCGGATTAGTCCTAATCTTTCATGCAAATGCATTGGCAATCTTAATGTTCTTGAGTTCTCAACTAATGCTCTAGAAACACCCTGAGATAAAGTGTGAAATGTGTCAGATTTTGTACAATCATAATAAGATAAAAACAAATTTAAAAGTAATATAAAGTACAAAACAAGACAGAAACTTGACAATTAATTATATTGTAAGAGGAATTAGTCAGGGAATTTTTGTGAGTAGATTTTTGTCTCATGATAAATCCTGGGTGGCTGAGGCTCCCACATTGAGGGAAACCTATTTCCTTAAGCTTGTGACTTACATATCACCAAGGAAAGACCAAGATAAGAAGTGAAAGACCGGGCAGAATAACAATAACAGAAAAATGGATTGCTCTTTTCTTATTTCAGAAGCTGATGCAACCAATGGTAAAAAACAAAGCTTCTGCATAGAAAGGATTAGGCTACCAAGCATTACGGTTGACAAGTTCACGGCCCTCGCTCTTTCAGGAATGACAAGAATAAATTTGGAAACTTTCATTTAGTTCAAATTAATATCGTGAAGATGACGTAGAACACAGAAATTAATCAATTGTACACAATAAGATCTATTTTTAATGTGCACAATGTTTCTCCAGAAACACAGATTAAATTACCTGACGTATCCACCAGTACACATAAGTTGAAATTTTATATCCCTTTGAAGAATCAAATTTTTCAATGCCACGCAAAAGTCCAATCAAACCACCCTACACATGAAAAAAAAATGTTTATCATGCAGTAAAAATCAACAATTCAATAAAATATCACTAGATTATCTTATCATGTATTTAAGGCAGTCAATCTAGTAAATTACCTGAATAAGATCAGACATTTCAGCACCCATGTTATCATATCTTTTAGCAATCGACATAACCAAACGAACATTGCTCATTGCCAGTTTTTCTCTTGCCAAAGAACATTCAATTAACTTTGACCGTAACTCAGCACGAGAAATCTTCAAGGAAGCTGCAAGTTGTTCATCAGATGGCTCACACCCCAATCTCTCCTTCAATCTAGAATTTCAGCACAACAATTAGAAATAAATTTCAAGAATTTAATGATTTTCTGAATTAGAATGATTCATCTAATACACATCAGATATCATTACCTTAATCTCTGCTTCTCCAAGGAAAGTCCAGCTTTAATTTTCTTTGACAAGCGCACAACTTCTGCATGGCTGAGCAAATCTTCACTTACTACACCCTTCACATAACCCTTCAAACGACTTTGAAGCAGCTCTGGACTGATCAAGGATCTTAGCTGCTTAGCATTAGGTTGTATCATTGATTTATTTTGATTCAGAATTTTCCTCTTGGTATTGAATCTCCGTTGCCGAGCAGACACCCCAGAACAAGTAACAGGTATTTTCTTGTAGGTTTTTCTACATGGTGATTCAGTGAACACTGTCCTCTCAAAAGAAAGAGTCCATTGCTTTTCCAGCATAGACTTCTGAAGCAAAAGAAGAGCCTCCACAGAGTAGTCAAGATCATGGTTTTCTTCTTCTAAGTCATTGGATCCCCGAAACCAGGGCTCTGCAGTTGAAATACCGGAGGTAGTATCCACATGCTCTTTAAAAGCTTTAATTGACTGAGTAGGCCGATTGGATGATGGAAGACTTTGACTACAATTTGATGATTTTTTTGCAACTATTAAACTTTTTGTGTAAGAAGTTTGATACTGCGAAGATCCGTAATCACTGGCATATGAGTGCTTCTCTATGATATCAGAATAAGAAAAGGAAGAACTCAAGAGTCTCTTTCCAGTGCTAAGACCAATCACAGCAGCTGTGGCCATCATACCGATTCTTCTCACGTTGGTACAATTACCATCACACAACTTAACAAGCTTATCGATTTAAAAAAAATTTATATAATTCTTCAACTGCATATTATGTAGGTGACTAGGCTAAACAAAATTGCTCTCTTGTAAGTTAAATCTCCTTCACGACACTCTGTTATAGAAAGGGTAAAAAATGTCAAGATTATTTCTTTTAAATACATCAAAATATATGACAATGGGAATAATAGAATTCTTTTTTCCCAATAAGTAACATAAGGTTTTATCTAATTCAAGTAGATTGCAGAAAGATGTAGCTCATGATGGTTTGGCCGAAAGAAAATTTCATAAAATCAAACCACGTTTAAGAGAATATCTGAGCATGTGGCAGACAGAAATGCTAAAGAGGATCATATTTACGTATTTTAAAGCTTTAAATGACTGATTCTTCAAGATTTGAAACCAGTTAATAATAAAGAAATTGGAAAGTCAAATAGAAAACAGAAAAGACAAAACTAATTCATTCGTCTTTTTTAATCTTCTTACCAAAACTTTTAACTCATATTTTCAAGCTCGTAAACCATCTCATCTTCTAGAAAAAGCCACAAACTTGGATGGTAGTGTTATCACTCTCCAAAACAAAGAATCTCAAACTTTAAGCAGAAGCCAATTTTTTTTTTCACTAAATTGAATAAATGATCACGAAGTCCTGTCATTTTGAAAAGGTTGGTCTTCATATTCATCAAACATACTAGCAAAGCTATAGCAGCAAAAAATGGAACAAATTCCCATTTCTTTTACCTTACATTCTGTCCTTTCACTTGTTTATGAACAAAAAAATAAGAATACAACAAAATTTCAACAAACCATTTCCATCTAATAGGAAAAAAAAAAAAAAGAAAGAGAAACATGAACATTTAATCCAAAGAAACTTAGAGGAAAGAGCAAGTAGTGTAAAGGGTAATGACCAAGCTTACCTTAAAAAACTGCCAGCTATAAGATAAAAGAAGGAGATGAAACAACCAAGAGGATGAAATATAAAAAACCTAGGACAGTTTGCAAAACAAGAGGTTGTAAGAGTTGGAACCTCTCTTCCACAGTCTTTTACAACCTCCTCTATTTTTCTTTTTTTTTTATTTTTTTTCTTAAAAAAAATCAAAACTTGCTTTTGGGATTGATGATTTTGGTTCTATTTATTTATTTATGGTTATGTTCTTCGTTTTGATGATAGATGGTTGTGTAGGATATGATTTTTATGATAAAATGAAGAAAAAAGAGTGCCAAATGTGCATAAAGGATATTGAGAAGAGCGATTTCATTGGCTATAACAGATATTGGGTTTCTTTGAGTGGTGCATAGCTTGCCATTTTGCTCCTCTTTTCTCTCTCCCTTTCAAGTTTTTTTCATTTTTTTTAAAAAATGGGTCTTTCCTCTCTGTTTTTCTTATTTTTAAAAAAAATTTTTTCTTAGTTTAATATCTTTGATATATTGGGAGATGGGTTTGGCCACCACACACCACCAACAAACCAACTGGAAATCTGGGCAAAAATCGACCACGCTGGGTCCCACCTTCCACGTCACTCATCCATTCCTGGTCCTGCCTTGTTGCTGCCCGCTTGAGGCTCATAAAATCCAACAATCAGGACCGTGAGCTTCCTGACTTGTTATTTAACGATTAAATGAAAGTTTGACTTTTGTTAAACGTACTTTGTAATGATTTTTGTTATTAAATTTTTTGTTTTGCAAATTAGTATTATGCTATTTTCATTCAAATAAGTAAATTTTTAAAGTGGTTTAAGAATAAAATTGTAAAAATTATTACATTCATTTATAAAAATTGTAAAAGCTATTACATTCATTTATAAAATGATAATCTACAATATAGTTTACAGAAAACTAGCAATCTTTTTTACAAAAATAAAGGTCATTCTATTAAAGAAAATAAAATCCTCTTTTAGTATCACATTCATATTGAATAAAAACAAGCCATCTGCTAGTACTACATTCTTATTGAACAAAAACAAGCCACCAATTTATAAGACCAGTACAAAATGCATAATAAAAACCTTATACATCACACAGACTTATACATTAAAATAAAATACATATACATCACATCACTTTATAATACAAAAAAATCAAATAGCATACATTCAATGCATATGCTTAGACTAGCACATATCAACCTTTTTCAAATTGCACCCAAACACCTTGACTACTAGTTGCTTGGTTGCTTGGTTGTTAACTACTGGGTTATTAGTTGTTTGGCTACTAACATTTGGATTGCTAGATGCTTAAAAATTAATAAATTGACCATCGACATAGATTAAAGTACTACTCTAACCCTTTTCTTTGATTGGAACAACTTTAGCCTTAACATAACCTTTTCCTCTACCAATATTTCTAGCATAATTTTTTTTTTGAACCCACATCACCTTTTCCTCTGCTAACATTTTTAGCCTCACTTTGTCTAACATTTCCAACAGATTAACAACCCATACCAAATGCTTTTCCTCTTAAACTTCTACCAACACCCATTCCTCTAGTAATACTTGATTGTAACTCAATTCCAACAGCAACATTAGTGACAGGTCTTCTTTTGGATCTACTTCTAGTTGTACTATTATTTATTCTTGTGAAAGATGCAAAATTTATCCTTTGAAAACCCTAAAAAATATACCTCATTCATGTTCAGTTTAATATATTAAAATCAATTTAATTTAAAGAAGCTAATTACTTGAGGATTGGTAGACTGAGAAGAAACTTTGTTCAATCCCTTCAACTTTATCCTTTTTTGCCATGGGGTCTCTCCAACCACCGATGCCTTGCAATATCTAACGTTATGTCCAACTTGACTATAGTTACCACATCTAATTGACTTGTTCTTTTCATGACATTTTGTAATGATTTTGTGGTTCATCAAGTGCTCTTTTTCTTAACTTTTTTAGTCTGCCTAGTGGTCTATATATGATTGAAGGTGTAAGAGTAGGGTTACTGCTTATAATCCATTCATGTTATCCTAGACTAAGATTAATAATGGCAACATATATAGCCATGTATGTCTCCTTAGAATAACAAGAATGGACATAGGATTCTAGTTTCTCCCTATTACAGTAAATAGCATAAATAACATGTTTATAGGGGATTCTAATCAAATCCCAAACCTTGCAAGTGTAACTTTTTTCAGCCAAATTCATAACACAAGAGGTTGTACCACATTTAACTTTGTATATAAACTTATCAACAGGAACAAAAAAAGTAAGTAAAAAAGTCCTTTTTAATCTGCTTAAGTTTGTTTTAAATATCTAGACATAAATGACCATTATAAAATTCCATACCGACCTTTTAAAATGAAATCTTTTCATCAATTTTTTCCTTATCCATTCTAACATGCTAAGGATGGGCAAATCCATAACTTTCAATATATAAGCATTAAAAAATTCACCAAGATTATTCACCACTAAACGGTCTTTGTTTTAGAGCTAAAATGAGACCTTGCCCAAGTTTTTAGATTTAAACTACTCACCCAAGCATGTGCTACCCCTATTCTGTCAAGCTCTTTCAACACCAATATAGCTTTCTTTCATTCTTTCATTGACCCCAAACTTCTTGCCTTTCCAAGAGCTTTTTTGTACATTTTTCCCTTAAAATAAAGCTTGAAATTTGTATACAAATACCTCAAATAGAACATATGCTCAACTTAAGGGTACACTTTTTCAAAACGTTTGGTCTAAACCTTATAAAAAAATAGATTAATACCTTTTATTGGTCAGGTATAAATACTATATACAAAAAGTAATTACAATAACAATTAATACTTTTTGTTGGTAAGATATAAACTCTAATCTTAGTTCAGTGAAACTCTTAAGTTTTTGATATAGCAAATGCAGGAATTAAGACCAAGTTTCTTTATTTTTTTGTTCAATAACTGCATAACAAAAAAGAAAGATGTTGTTATTCACATTTCTAGTAACATCACTTAGTAACTATTGTCCAAAATGACATTTTAAGTGACAATCATCCAATCCTATAAACCTTCTATATCTAGCCATGAATCTTTTTTTTTTTTGTGCATTGAACATGATGAATATACTTTCAAATCTAGGAATAAAGGATTTAAAAACACCAGCAGCTACATCAAAGCACTAACTTTCCATTTTCATCAACGTAGAACTGCCAAAATTGGTGTCTTGAATAATGTCACAATAATCAAACAACTTTGAATACTATAACTTGTTATCCTCTTCTATCATTTTCGTTAGCTTTTCTCTTAGCTCTATATACTTAAGGGAAACTAACTTCAAGCTTTAATTCTTTGAAAATCTTTCTCACTATCTTTGTGATTTTTCAATTCAGGTTATCCTTCAAATCATCAAAAAACTTCTCAGCCAAATAAGATGCAGTGACTTAATGAATTTTAAACTCTTTTGAGTAAGTATGCTTTGGTTGAAAAATCTTTATTTGAAAAGCACAATATTCTCTCAGCCTAGATGTATATATTTTCCATCCATAGTCCTTCACACAAACAACAATAATTTTATCTCCATCATTCCTTCTAAACTTATAGTCATAACCTCTACAAACATAGTACTCCTTCAATGCCTTTCTATAAATAGTTTCATTAATAAACTTCAATCCAACCTTTAACTACAGAGTCTTCATATCAACCTTTTCATTAAACATTGTCTAATGGTCTACTTCTTCATTAGATCCATGAACATTATATAGATCACCATCATCTATCACTACATCATCCTCTAAAACAATGTTTTCAATTAACCTCCCTAGAATAGGTTGTCCAATATTAGATCTTTTTGTTTTCTTAGAACCACCAACTCCATTATCTTCAAATATATCATTAACCTCTATTTGTTCATCAAAGCAGCTAGGATCATTACTAGAAAAACTATCACTATCACATTCACTGCTTGCATGATAGTCATTATCATCCTCATCATTGTTTTCACCATCTTTTTCTTCCTTATTTTTAACATATTTGTCAATATTTTGAGCATCAATTTTAGCCTCATTTGCATCACTATCTTCTGCTAAATTAGCAATACCATCATCAACCTCATTTGCATCATTGTTTTCTGCTTCATTATAAGTACTATCATAAACCTTATTAGCACCAATGTTTTTTGCCAAATTAGCAATATTATTTCCACCATTGTTTTATGCCAAATTAGCAGTATCATTTTCACCATTATTTTTAGTATTATCTTTAGCTGCAAATTCTTGAGTAGACCTCTTTATTTGTACTTTCTTTTCATTTCCAAATGGTGTATATAGACATATAACAAAAAAATAAGGTTCATTTGTTACAACATATATTGGAATGGTTTTTTTTTTTTTTATGATAGAGAATTATAGGTTCAACATGTATATCTAAATGAATATATTTCAACCTTTCATCAAATAATAGCCTAGGAATACAATAAAACATGTCAATAGTACTCCCATACCCCAATTTAATAACTCAATCTTGCAGTTGAAAAAATGACAACTTATCTAAAGGATAATTATCCATCCATGCTACATCACCTCCTACTCAAACTTTTTTTAAGAATTTGCATAAATGACCTATCCTGATAAAACTCAATAGTTTTGTTGGCATTCCACATCTATAGCAAAATAAAATTTTAATTTTTTAGTGAAATTATGATTGATTTTGATATGAGGTTAAGCATAACAAATTGATTCAGATATGACATTAATAACATTTCAAATTTTCAAAAACCTTGAATTGATTCTAATATGAAGCTTAGTATAAAAAATTCCTAAATATTTTTAACAAAACTTGCTAACCATAACATTAACCAAAAACCAATTACATTGAAATTAAATAGAAAATTGTACATACTTTATTTAATTATGTGAATCCAACGAAACACCTCCAAAGCGTGCCTAAATTTCAGTTCCTCCGAACCTAAAATCAATTTCATCTCAAAACTTAAATCTGGATCTCAATCACTAACCCAAACACCTTCTTCTACCAATAATTGAATGATTTTAAGGATTGATTGTTGAATGAAGAGTTTTTTCTATGAAGATTAGATTGATTGAAGGAAATTTTGTTCAATTTTTTGTTAACTATTTGACTGCTTTTATTTCTCATTATAAGCTTATGTTATACATGTCGTAATGATTTTAGAGCCACCCGATAAATTTGAAAACGAAAATAAAAGAACGAAAAAATGGAGTCGCCACCAATCTTTTTTGGCTAAGTGTGATTGGCCACCTATCAAAGCATATCCTTTTAATGAAATCTCAAAATTAATTAAAATTTATTAAAAGGATAATTTTAGGCTCTGCATAATAGTCTGGGTTCAAGAGTCGATTACGTGTGGGGAATGATTAGCACTCCCACAATGCCCGTTTAAAATGGTACCAATTAACTATGTATTATCCTTTGATTTTGATGAAAAACAGTCCCATTTTCGATGTTTTAAAAAATAATT